GTTTCCTCGGGCCTCAGGTGTGCTGGTGTCCTGGGCAATGAATGACTGCCACCCTTTTTGGCTTCCATATGACTTTTTTTTTCTTTTTGGTCTTTTGAGACAGGGCTTCCCTATAGCCCCAGCTGTCCTGGAACTCACTATGTAGACCAGGCTGGCCTTGAACTCACAGAGATCTGCCAGCCTCTGCCTCCCAAGTGCCCATATGACTTTTAACAAATCAACGATCTCTTGCTTGTTTTTGATAGTCCTTCCTTTTAATGTCAGGAGGCCTTTTTCTCAATAGATGGCTCCATGTACATGAACAGTAGCAAAAGCATATCTACTATCAGTGTAAATGTTGACAGTCTTACCCTGTCCCAGTCTTAGTGCCTGAATCAAGGCTATCAGTTTAGCCTTTTGAGCAGATGTTCCTTTTGGCAGGGCTTCCGCCCATAGAACATTCTTCTGAGTGACTACTGCTGCCCCTGCATACCTGACTCCATCTTTTATGTAACTACTCCTGTCTGTGTACATCTCCAAGTCAGGGTTCTCCATGGTAAGTTGGTGAGCGGCTTCCCTCTTCCCTGGACATGCTGCAGCAATTCAGAACAATCGTGATGCACAGTTGTCTCAGACTCAGTCTCGGAGCAGGGATGCAGGGTTTAAGGCACTGGTCACTGCATATGTCAGGTGGGGCACGTCTAGTAGGAGAGACTGGTAATGAGTTAGTCTTGCATTTGTGAGCCAGTAATCAGGCGGGGCCTTCAATACCCCTTCAATAGCGTGGGAGGTAGTTACAATCAGTTGTTGCCCCAAGGTGAGCTTATAGGCATCTTTAATCAGGACTGTGGTGGCCACTATAATTCTTCAGACAGGCTGGCCATCCAGCCACCATTGAGTCTAATTTCTTTGAGAGGTAGGCCACTGGTCTCTTCCAGGGGCCCAAAGTTTGAGCAAGTACTCCCTTTGCTACACCTAAGCCATTCTTCTACATAAAGGTAGAAGGACCTCTGGCAGGGCTACGGCTGGTGCAGAAGTGAGGGCCAGTTTTAGGTTATCAAAAGCCTGCTGTTATTCTTTTGCCCAGGAAAATGCTGAGCCCCCCCCCACCCTTGTTACTTCGTATAGAGGCCTGGCCAGTTCTGCAAAACCAGGTATCCATAGGCAACAATATCCAGCTGACCCCAGGAATTCTCTGACTTGACTCTGACTTCGGGAAATGGGGATGTCCAGGATTGCCTTTTTCCTTGCAGAGGAGAGCCTGTGCATACCTTCTTCCAATTGTTCTCAGGTGGGGTGGACCAGCAGCAGTGACAAACCCGCAGGTGGTCTCCCTCTCGCTTCCTCCCAGCGGCACTGGCACCGAGGCGATGGATGGGCGGACGGGAGATGCTGGAGGGGGCAGGACAGCAGCAGCAGTGACTAATACTAATAACCCAGGCATTGAAGTTCTTTCAACAAGTCTTTTGTCCTGCAAAACCTGGCTGACTTTCGACAAATTTGTAGACCTTTTTGTAGCAGCCTGGAGAACCCCCATAAGAATCTGGTGATAGAGTCTAAGTGACTCCCTACCTGCAGGGGTGTTGGGATCCCAATTTGGGCAGCGGTGAGGGACAATTCCTCGATCACTTCAGGTAAATGGGCCAGTACCCGTTTCCGGGCCTCAGAGAGGATCCAGGTGCATTCCTCAGTGGTGAAGAGGGTGAGAAGGAGTTGTTGGACATCACCCCAGGTGGGCTGGTGAGCTCAACCATTTGGGAGGTTTGTCCAAAAGGTAAAAGTAAACCATGACATAAGGAATCTGATCAGGGTGTCCTGGGCTTCCAAAGATCATTGCCTGAAGAGAAGAAATCTTACTAATCTCAAGAACCAGTAGAGGGCCATCCTTCATCAAAGGATGGCCATTCAAGAGAACAGAGGGTCCAGAATTTCCCCGAATAAACAGTGTCTCCAGAGATTGCAGCTGCTTTTTGGAAATCTTTAAAATGAGAAATAGGACAAGGGGAGTATCTTCAAATGAAGGAGTATGACCCATAACGGAAAAGAAGAGGATTAATCCAAAATAAAGACCAATGAGAACCAGACAAACAGGAAACAAAGACTTGACACCAGGACAACACAGAACAAAAGCGCTGCGTGTTGGGGAATCACTGCGCATTTGATGGTCACTACGGGAGTGACTAGGGTCGATGCCAAATGGCTGGAGGCCACAGACAGTCAACCAATCAGATGAAGGGTTGGGGCATCCCCCGTCCTCCTGCTCAGAGAGCAATACTGTGTCCAGTTTCTCTCCTTTGAGCCCCCAGAAGTCCAGACAGAACAAAACCCAAAACAGACTCACTGCGGGAGGAACCAGAACTGAAGTCTCCAGGCACCAGACAGAGGTCAGAAAAAGACAGAAAGACAGACCAAGGGTTTTCAGGGAATCCCGGACGAGCCCCCCAAAATGTTCGGGGTCTGTAAAATTCCCTAAATTGACCACTCAGACACTGAGTCTCAGTAAAAAGGAGTGCTTTATTGGAGCCAACTGGTTGGGGACAGAGTCTCAGGAGCTGTACTGCGACTCTGAGCAGTGAAAGCAAGCTCCTATTCCAACTCCTAGTTCCAAAAATCCATTTAATATATTGTCCTCGGATAGAGGACGTATCAGATATTAAACTGATAAGAACAGATACTACACTTGATCTTAGCCAAAAGGCCGAGAAGCGATACCTTTCTCTCCGCACTGTGCCTTGTCCTACGCCCTCGCCCCACACTAACATTGGGGTCACCGCGCACACCCGGACTCCTGTCTCTCCCTCGGGCTCCGGCGGCCTCACGGGCTCGTCCTCTTCCCCTCAGCGCGCGTTTCCTTTTCTCACACTTTCCGCCAGAAATTACACATCACGGCTGTCCCTGCGTTCCCGGGTGGGAGGCCTTGTCTCATTTACATGTCCCGCCCTCCTGGGGCGTGTCAACCCCTGGCCGCCCCCCTTCCCGGAAGCCTCCCCGTGTTGCTCAGGTCAGGCCACTCCCTGTTCAGTCCTTGGAAAGTGCGAAAAAACAACGGAAGGGAGGTATGGGATGCGCCAGATGTGGAGGAGGTGGTGGACTTTCCCTTCCTGGTCGTGGTGTTTGGGTTCTGAGGAATTCCCCAAACTGACCACTCGGACACTGAGTCTCAACAAAAAGAAGCGCTTTATTGAGGCCAACTGGCTGGGGACTCAGAGCTGTACTGTGACCCCAAGCAGTGAAAACGCAGGGCTTTTAAGCAGAAAAACCATAAAAACCACACAGCAGGGGATGTCCACAGAAACTATACACAGAATAACCAAGAAAGGATTGGAACAATCTAGGGCTAATTTCCAGAGACTTTACCTATACAGCCATTGGCTGTCTTACCTGGGGCAGAACGTTTTCTCTTCTGCCCCAGATTATTCCCATAGAAACCATACACAGATGTATCAGGTATACTGCCATTGGCTAGCTTACCTGGGGCAGAATGTTCTATCTCTTCTGCCCCAGACCATTTCCATAGAAATCATAAACAGATACCAGGAAAGGGTTTGAACAATGGAGGGGATTTCCAGAGTCAGGTGGAGGGCAGCTTTTTCTCAGAGGATAGGGAGGGGGTCTGAGGGGTCACTTATCTGTGACCTCCTTTTTCTATCCCTGATCACAACAGATGCTGCACTACAGAGAAGATGCATAACTTCAAGGGCCAAAGTAGCTATTAGAAACATGGAGGGACTATCTGTCCCTGATCAGAACACATGTAACAATCAGGGATGGATGGCCTGGCATTACTCTGGTCCCTGAGGCAGGGTTTGACATCCATGGTCAAGAACAAGTTGAGGAAAAGAAGCACAAAATAGGCAGAGACCCAGGGCATCTATGCAGGGTGAGTAGCACCTATCAAGTGCATGGCTGCTTCCCAGGGGCTTTGGAACTAGGAAGGTGGCCTGCTGCCATGCTAATTCCAATGTAATGGGTTGAACTTAATAACTGATGTTATACTGACATTTCTTAAAACACTAAGTACAATGTTCTCCATGCATCCTTGGCCCATGCTAACAATATAGACATATTTTCCAATGTGGCTTTAGTGGGAAAAATTGTGGCCCTAATCTCAGAGACTGAATAGCAAAGATTCTGACAGTCTGAAGACCACATTCATTGGGTAGTTTTCTCCTTAGGCCTTTTGCTCCCCTGACCAATGAAATGGCCAGGTTGTAACAGCAGCAGGAGATCCCCCCAGGACAAGATGAAGGCCTTCTGCACTGTGCCCTGGGTTGTCCAAAGGTCTTATGATAAAGTGAACAGGGGTAGTCCTTTACTGTTGATTCTCCTGTGGGTGTCCATGAAACCTAAGGAACAGGGTGACTATGGAGAGCCTACATACCTAGTGGCTTCAGCCCTTATTAATTCAGATTCACCTCTAGAGATCAAGTAGGTTTCCTTTGGCTGATTCTTGGGGGCCATTCTGATGAATTGGTTAGCTGAGATAGGGACACTAAGACAGACAGCCCTTCATAGGACAGCCTAAGCAGGGATTGTGTCCCCAGAGGCCTGTGGATATAGACACTGGGCTCAGAATTAGCTTATGCTCAACACCGAACTGCCTTACCCATCTACATGTTGGACCAGATCATGCCCACTTATCCTATTCAGATCAGCCTGTTAACTAAGACAGTTCATTAACCAGAGCCACAACCAGAACTCTGGTGGTTGGATTGTCCTTTGGGGCATGCTGCCCCCTCCCCAAGGAGTACAGGGAGAGGCACTGGAGCAGACAGTATGGGTAAGGATGGGGGTAACATGGGCAGAACAGTATAACACTTAAGAATCCTTTACATATGGCAGAAACAACCTCAGCACAACCTTAGCTCCAAATGTGAATGGCCTGATGCTGGTATAAGGATGGGAGAGACTCAAATGTGCATGTGCTCCTGTGTATGAGAAAAGTGTAAGGCTAGGGAAGAGGATCCTATGTCTATATGTGAGAGCAGATGGATGAAAGAACCAGTGACAGGGTGAAACAAGTCTTTCCCAAAGCACTTTAATGCACACACCAGCCCACAGTCTTTGCCTGCTGGCTGGGCAGGAGAAGCCAACCCCACCTGGAGGCTCCCAAGGCTTCCCATGCCCAGTATGCCTGGAGGGGTGAGTCCATATACACTTCCATCAATAGGTGAGGGGTGTGAGGATGAAGAGGCGGTCTTCCTCTTTACGGATCCAGCGCATCAGCTTATGGATGGCACTGACAGCTGATGCCTTGGTCCCCAGTGGACTGTAGCACATGTAGAGCTCAAAGGCACCTGTCACCTGGAGGAGGGGGCAAAGGGTGGTCATCTAGGATAGACATGCCTCTTGTGACATCTACCCAGTGCTGTATGAAGCCCAGTCCATCTAGAGCCACCTTACCCAGGCTAGAAGGTTCTCGTTGGGGCCTGTGTAGTAGATGGTCTTGAGTGGGCGAGAGGCATTGTGGGCACGGCTGTGCAGGTACTGGTAGAGGCCCAGCAGCCGCTCCTGCTCCTCTTCACTGGTGTATGGGGCTTCAATCTCAGGACTGCAGATGGGGGGAATGGGTTCACAAAGGAATGACTTTCATTGTCTTCTCTAGAGATCTAGAAATACTATTTCTGGACAGGGAAACTCTAGCACCTGTTCTCTCCAGATGCTCTCCTCTGACAGGACATGTCTCCCCACCACAAAGAACTCCCCAGGACAGACTGGAGCCCTGCTCTCCTTCCCAAGTTCACAATGTGTTTGGTAGCCTTTCTTTGGAGAGGTTAATTTCTGAGTTTAGGTATCCAATAGAATAATAGGTCTGGAATGGAAGCAAAAATAAGCTGGGAAATCTTCTGGGCCAAAAGGGGATAAAGGGAGGACAGAAGTTGTCATATCTGCCCAGCTCCTTCATTGGAGTAAATGGGGGAAGATGTTGCATCCTGACTCCAAAGGCAGAGCTGCCACAGGGTGAAGGACCCCAGAAACCCATTCTGGCTTCTTTCCCTGGGTATATTGGTTTAAGTTGTTCAAGGCCTTATGGGTCCTGAAGTATAGAGGTATATGCCCACTGTGAGATGGGAAGTCTGGGTCTCTGGTGCCAGAACAAAGCAGCTCCAGTATGCTGGTGCACTCTCAAAGGAGTGGTCAGCTTCAGAGCCACATCTTAGGGCTCAGGACCCACCAGCCTCTCCCCCTCTCCCCAACCTTGTCTCCCTGAAGCAGTGCCTTCCCTCACCTGGTGAAGAGTCCTGAGCTCTTTGATTTATAGAGGAAGTGGCGCAGTTCAGGGATGCCCACTTGGGCAACGCTGTAGTAAGGGGTGCGCAGCGCCTCCCGCAGCGCCAAATGGGCCCCACGTTTTCGAAGGCGCTCCTGGAAGCGGCGGCGGCAGTCAGAGACTGCAAAGAAGTCCTCCCGGTCGGTGGAGACCAGTAGCAGGCAGAGGTCAGTGTCAGGCTCTAGGTAAGAGATGTGTGCGTGGAAGAAGCCCGCGGCGTTGAACTTTGGCAGGCACACGGGAGTCCATGCCTCGCCTTCGCGGAAGGATGAGGAGGAACTAATGAGGTTGAAAAGCAGGTGCAGGTCGATGGGATGAAGGAATTGGTCCTTGCGGCGCACGAGCGCCACCAGCTGGTTGCGGGCCAGCAGGATGGAAAAAACCAGGCTGCGAGCACGTGCCTGCTGCAGGCTGGCACTCACAGTGTCCCGCACAGCCGCTGCCAAGGGTAGGCACCGCGCGGCCCCCATCAGGAAACTGGGATCTCGGGCCATGAGATGCAGCAAGTTATCGGTGATTCGCTCAGAACCCGAGAGCAGGCGCCGAAGGTCGTAGTTCTGCTTTTGCTGGAAGATGTGGCTCAGCTGCGCACCAGTAAGAAGGCTCAGGATCTGGTAGTAGATGTAGAGCAGCTCCTGCGCCAGCTCCTGGGCCGACTGCCGCGTGCGGGCCACCGCCACCAGCACCAGAGGGCTCCGGCGCACGAATACTACCTTGTAGCCATCTGAGGGTGTGGGGGGATGTCAGCCTCAGCCCTCCTCCCGGAGGCCCTCCCGGATATGCTTTCCCAGCAGATACAAAGCTTCACTCCCACCTTGCTGGGAGCTCTGAATTCAGTAGGGGCTTAAGGGTTGGGGGTACCAGTCACCCCCTTTCCGGGCCATTTGCTTCACAGACTGACTTCCTCAGAAACACAGGAAGCTTTTCAGGAAAACAAGTTTTGTTTTGTTTTGAGACAGGATCTTATGTAGCTCAGGCTGGCCTGGAACTGGCTATGTACCTGAAGCTGGGTCTGAACTACGGATCCTCCTGCCGCCACCTCCCAAGTGCTGGGATAACAGGCAAGGTGTACATCACCACTCACAGCTCAGGAAAACACATTTTTATGGCTAGGAAAGAGCTGGATTAGGCTAAGGACGTGGGATTGACTGATTTAAAAAAAAAAATCTTTTATCACTTCCCCTGATGGCTTTTATCCTTTCAATGGCAAAACTCTTGTGAGAGCTATCTTTAGCCCTTACCACAGCCCCCCAACTTCGCAGCCCCCCCAGTCACCAGCCCTGGGAGTCTGAGGACAAGAGGCTCAGAGAGTTGGACACACTTTACCCTCAGGCAAACAGTACCACCCAGCTCTCTAGACTCTGTGTGTGAGAATAAAACAGGGGCCAAGAAGAGGAAAACTTCCTTGTAAGTAGAACGAAGAGAATCTAAAAAATTTTGAGGGTTTGTCAAAAGAATTCTATCCTGTGTGTGTGTGTGTGTGTGTGTGTGTGTGTGTGTGTGTGTGTGGTGTCTAAAGTCTGCTATGAATAAACCCTGCCAGTGAAGCCTTCCCCACAACCCTCTTCTGGTGGCTCACCTGCATGGATGGAGCGGATGGCATTCTTGTCTGCCTCCAGGAAGGATACCAAGGCCACCATGACACCCATAGTGCTGGAAAGTGCTTCCTCAGACCCATATCGAGAATACACAGGCTTCCCTGCCTCACTCAGTACAAAGACATGCTTCTGGTGTAGTCGCCATGCCTCTGTAGCATCCTCCTCGTCCCCTTCGGCTGTGCCCTCTCGGGAGGGCTCTGTGGCTGGTCTCCCAGCTGCCCCAGAGGGTTCCAGCCAGTCCTCAGAGCTTCCTGGCAGCATCTCCTCCTGCAGGTCACGGGCTACACCTGTCAGCTGGGTGCTGAGCTCGCTGAAATCCTGACTGATCTGACGCATGTCTGTAGGCAATGGTGGGGGACACCCAGCACCCTCTTTGGGGCTGTCCCCAGAAGGCTCCCCATTTTCTGACTCAGTCAGGTCTTCATAGGAACGTGCATGGACGAACATGGCACCCTCCTGCCCAGCACCTGCAGACCAAAAGCACAGGTGAGTGGGGTAGCTGTTGACAGACACTCACCAAGGCGGGGCCTAACATGGTCACTCTAATATGACTGCCTGTCCCGATGGTGCCAAGCCACTGTTTCTTCCTGCCATGGTTCATGGATCATTCTGCTCTACAACTTAAAGTCCCTCAGTCTCATGGCAGCAGTTAGAGTTAGTATCTGCCTACCTCTCTCACTGTTTGTGCAGCTCACTCCTTTGCTCATTCCCCACAGACTGGCTTTCATTCATCTGCCCTTTAGACCCCCTCAATGAGGGCACACCTATCTCAGGAGCTCTGCATCTGTTGTCTCGCCAGAAGGCATTCCTACCTCCCATGTGGGTAGCTACTTGTCATACTTCAGCTCTCAGGGAAGATGTTAGTTACTTCTTGGCCTGACCTCTAACACCAGACAATCTTTTTCTCTTTGATTTCCCCTGTAACACTAGCCAGTTATGGGCCTTCTCCCCAACTTCAATGGTATCCCTCAAGAACGGAAACTGAAGCTTGGTTATTTATTCTCTTTCTGGGAGGACTACAATAGTACCTGACTACCAACCTGTGTCTTCTCCAGGGCAGGGACCATGTCATCAGTCTTTCCTTTTTATCTTTTTCTTTGGTGCTATGAATGGAATCCAAGGACTGAGACATTCTAGGTAAGTGCTCTACCAGTGAGTTGAAGCCCTACCCTACCTTGTTTTCAAGATAGGCTTGCTACATAGCACTGGCTAGCCTTATATTCATTATGTTGCCCAGGCTGACTGTAAACACATAGCAATCCTCTTGCTTCAACCTCCTGGTACTTGGATTATAGCTATACACCACCACGTCCAGCTCTTAGTTTTCTTTTTCTTTTAAATAGGGACTGGAGAGATGGCCCAGTGGTTAAGAGCACTGGCTACTCTAGCAGAGGTCCCAGGTTCAGTTTTCAGAATCTACATGGCAGCTAAGACCTGTCCTTAACTCCAGTTCCTGGGAATGTGATGCCCTCTTTCTGCCTCTGCAGGCATTGCATGCTTGGGTGCATTTACAGACATGTAGGCAAAATACTCATACATACAAAATAAAAGTAAATACATAGGGGCTGGAGAGTTGGTTCAGGGGTTAAGAGCACTGACTGCTCTTATGGAGGACCTGGGGTTTCATTCCCAGCACCCAGTTGGCAGCTAATAACCATCCTAACTCCAGTTCCAGGGGATCCAATGTTCTCTTCTGACCTCTGTGGGCATTGCACAAAACAGGTGCACTTACACACATTTAGGCAATACATATCAAATAAGAATAATAAATAAAATGTTAAAAAAATAAGCTGGGTGTGGTAGCACATGCCTTTAATCCCAGCACTTGGGAAGCAGAGGCAGGCAGATCTGTGTGAGTTCTAGGCCAGCCTGGTCTACATAGTGAGTTCCAGGACAGTTGGGGTTAAAGGGAGACCCTGTCTCAAAAAGACCAAATAAATAAATAAATACATAAAAAATTTTAAAAGAAAAAAAAAAAGAGTTCTCACAATGGTGAGAACTGGAGTTCAGATCCCAGGACCCATGTAACAAGTGAGGCATCCCACAAATGCCTGCAACCTCAGCTCTGAGGGGTCAGAGAAAGGAGGATTGCTGGAGCTTGGTGGCTTCCAGCTTAGCTGAGAAAATGTGATACACCTGACACACTCTTCCACCCCCCCCATCTATACACAGGTGCACAGAATGGCACATGCATGTGTACACACACACACACACACACACACACACACACACACACAAATGTTTAAGAGCACTAGCTGCTCTTGCAGAGGAGCTGGGTTCAATTCCCAGTACCCACATGGTGGCTAATAACGATCTGTAGCCCGGAACCCAACTCTCTCTTCTAGCCTCTGCAGGCATCACACGACATGAGTGCACTTAACATATATGCAAGCAAAATACTCATACACATAAAAAGGTTTAGGTTTTTATTAAAAGAAAAAAAATTTTGAGACAGGTATGTAGCTTTGGTTGGCCTGAAACTTACTATGTACACCAGACTGGCCTCAAACTCACCTCTGCCTCTCTAGTGCTGGGATTATAAGGCATGAACCATCACTCCCAGCATAAGATAAATTTTTAATATAGATTTTAATAAGAGCATTAAGAGGCAAAAGGAGGCACTTTTTTTTTTAATAGGAGACAGGATCTCACTGCTGCCTAAACTTGTGATCCTCATGCCTTAGTGTTATGAATAGCTGGGATTATTAGTGTATATGACTTACTATGTCTGGCTCTTTTTGATTTTCAGTGCTGGGAATTGAAGTCAGGGCCTTGCACATGCTAGGCAAATGCTCTACCCTGAGCTATATCTCTAGCCCCTTTATTGACAAACTTGTGATACTGAGGATTGATGTCAGGACCTGGTACATGCTAAGCAAGCACCCTGCCACTGAACTATATTCCTGGCCATATATTTTGAGTCTCTATTATGAGTTTGGTGCTATACTAGACATTGGAGATACAACTCTCCTGTGCTCAAAGAGCTTATAATCTTGTGGAGAGATAGAAAATACATAAACAAAGACAATTAAAAGATAACTACTGACCTACATAGTGTTGTCTAAGCACAGCTAAATTGTGAGGTGCTATTTAAGCTGAAAGATGGGAGAGATGGCTCAGCACTTAACACTTAGTGCTCTTATACCCTTACTGAGTGACTCACAACTGCCTTTCACTCCAGATCTAGGGAATCCAATGCCCTCTTCTGAATTCCACAGGCACCTGCTTGTACTTGGTGCACATACAGACAAATACACACATGCACATGCGTGTATATGCACACACACAAAAAACCCACAAAGTTAAAAACTATTTTTTTTCAAAAGAACTCATTTTAAGCTGAAAGATGAAAAGAGGAGAAGGATCCAGGGATGTGGACTTTAGACATGGAACAGGAAGAGAACCATTAGTACCCAGGAGCACAAGGTGAATGGTACAATATGAAATGGCAAGAAAGGTAAGATGCAGACTGAGCCTGGCTTTCTGAGGTATCCTCAGACTATAACAAATCCCTAATGAATGAATGAGCAAATGTCCAAGTGAGTATGAAGGAAAGAGTGGTTATGAACCCTAATTCCCACTGGAGGCTAGCTGTTCCAGTTGTTAGCTAGTTGGGGGACTGCATACTCTGTCCATACCTGGCTCCATTCCCTGGGCCAATCCTGGTGTGGGGCTCTCTGCTCTCTCCACACTCTGTCCATCAGAAGGAGCCAATGTGCCATCAGGGCATTCGTTGCTTCTCTTCCTCTGCATGTCAGCAGCCATCCTTCAGGCTTTCCTATGAGGTAAAAAAGGCATCATGGAAGGTAAAGGAGTAAGGTGCCATTGGGAGAGTCACTAGCACACTTAATAGTAGTAAGCTAGAACCCCAGCAAGTCAAATTCCTGGGGAATGGCTTATAAGTATTCCCCCATTTAAAAAAACAAAAACAGCTGGGCATGGTGGTGCACACCTTTACTCCCAGCACTTGGGAGGCAGAAGCAGGCGGCTCTTTGTGAGTTCAAGGCCAGCCTGGTCTACATAGTGAGTTCCAGGACAGCTGGGGCTACAAGGAGACCCTGTCTCAAAAAAAAAAAAGACAAAAAAAAGGTAAAAAAACAAAAACAGCCAGGCATGGTGGCACAGGCCTTTAATCCCAGCATATGGGAGGCAGAGGCAGGCGGATCTCTGTGAGTTCAAGGCCAGCCTGGTCTACGTAGTGAGTTCCAGGTCAGCTGGGGCTACAGGGGGACCCTGTCTCATAAAACAAAAACAAAAAACAAAACAAAAACAAAAAGCCAGAGGTGGTGGTATATGCCTTTAATCCCAGCACTCAGAGGCAGAGGCAGGGAGATCTCCGTAAATTCAAGGCTAGCCTGGTCTACATAGTGAGTTCCAGGCCAGTTGAGGCTACAGAAAGACCCTGTCCCAAACAACCAAAAACCACCAAAACCCCCCACCAAAAACAACAACAGCAAAACCTATGTTTCTCATTGAGTATAATGCCAGGAGGCTGAGTCCGGAGAATTGCCATGAGTTCAAAGATCCTGTTTCAAAAATTTAAATAAATAAATCTCTGCCTTTGTCTCTGCTGCCTCCTCTTCCTCCTCCTCCTCTTCCTCCTCCTCCTCCTTCTTCTTCTCCCTCTCTCTCTCTCTCCCTCCCCTTTCTCTACTGGAGATTGGAGGTTGAACCCAGGGCCTTTTACATATTAGGTACAAAAACAATCAGCCCTAAATAAATATTTTGAAATGTATATAAAATGATTTTTTGAAAAAAAAAATGGTAACAGCAACTAACACATTAAATGTCAGAGTAGCCAGGTATGGTCGTACAACTGTAATCCCAGCACTCAAAAAGCTGAAACAGAAGAACTACTGCAACTTTGGGGCCAGCCTGGGCTATATAAGGTTAGCCTGAAATACATAATGAAGCCCTGTCTTGAGAAAACAAAAGTTGGGACTAGAGAGATGACTCAGTGGGTAAAAGCACTTGCTGCTCTACTAGGTTCAGGTCCCGGGACCCACATGGCAGCTCACAACAGCCTATAACTCCAGTTCCAGGGGATCCAATACCCTCTTTTGACCTCCACTGGGCACCAGACATACATGTGGTGCACATATATACATTCAGGCAAATACTCATACACATAAAATAAAATAAAATTTCAAAAAATAGAAGTATCAGAGTAGCATGCTACAAAGTTTATGTGGGTTAAGTTATATAATTTAGAGGATGCCTCTGAGGCAAGTACTCTAATCAAACTGTCTATAGGAACTGAGAACTGAGGCTGAGGAACTAGGAAGGAAGCACTTGATATGGGAATTGAAATAGTTCATAACCTGGTATCTTTCACTCTATAGTCTACCACGAATTTCCCACTAAAAGCCGAATTGACCAATAGCTCTTTTGGGATATTTCAGCACTTGTAGAGAAAAAAATGAGATACAGTTAACAGACTTTTCTTTAGACTGGAGTTGCTCTTCTCTAAATATCCCTCTGTACCTCCTGAATCTGGCACAATTGATTCCTTTACCATTTAAAAATAATAGCTAATTATACAGGGACTGGAGAGATGGCTCAGCAGTTAAGAGCACATACTGCTCTTCCAGAGGACCTAAGTTCAGTTTGCAGCAATCATATCAGGTGCTCACAACTGCCTATAGCTCCAGTTCCTAGGGGATCACCACCTCTGGCTACTGAGGGCATCAGCACTCATAAGCACATACCCATACACAGAAAAACACATACACATAATTAAAAAAAAACCAAAACTAACTAGAACTGGACATAGTGCTGAAATTCTAGCACATGGGAGGCAATGGTAGGATCTGAGTTTGAGGCCAGTCTAGGATATACCAACAAAACCCTGACTCAAAACCAACCAACCAACCAAACAAACAAACAAAACAAAACTGGAGCGCTTGGTGGTGCACACCCTTAATCCCAGCACTTGGGAGGCAGAGGCAGGTGGATCTCTGTGGGTTCGAAGCCAGCCTGGTCTACATAGCGAGTTCCAGGCCAGCTGGGGCTACAGAGAGACCCTGTCTCAAAAAGACCAAAAGAACAAAACAAAACAATGACAACAAAACCCACAAAAACACTGGGTTGGTAGCTCATGCTAGTAATTCCAGCACTCAGGAGGTGGTGACAGGAGGATTAAGAGTTTTAAGGACAGCCTATGCTATAAAAGACTCTGTCTCAAAACAAAAACAAACAAACAAAAAACCATTCTACTTTTTTCTTTTTGAGACAGGGTCTCCCTGCTGCCCCAGCTGGCCTGGAACTCACTATGTAGACCAGGCTGGCCTCAAACTCACAGAGATCCTCCTGCCTCTGCCTCCTGAGTGCTGAGATTAAAGGCATGCACTACCATGCACCCCTAAACCATAGTACTTTTAAACTCTACATTCTCTCCTAGCTACCACACCATTTTTCCTGCTATTTTTTTTGTATATATATTTTGTCTGTAGTACTGACTTGAACCCAGGGCCTGTGCATGCTAGACAAGTGCTCCACCACGAAGATGCTGAACTACCAGCATTTTGTTCTTGTTTTTAGATAGGGTCTTGCTAAATTGACCAGGTTGGCCTAGAAATTTCCAGCCTTCTGTCTCAGATTCCCAAGCAGCTGGGATTACAGATGTGCATCACCATACCTAGGTTTTGCTGCCTTTTATGACAAGTCCTCTCAAAATAACTAATAATATTTGGAATTTATATGAGTCTGGCAGGCTAGGCTATGCTCTCTAACAAGTGAATGATAAAACAGTAGAGGCTTTATATATAAGGGCTTATATTTTTGCTTGTACACAATTTGCTGTGGATCTGGTAGCAACTTTTTCCTGAATGTCAATTTCTTTTCTTTTTGCTAACAATCATCTGGAACTCTAACAATCATCTGTAACTCCAGTTCCAGGATTAAAGGCATGTGTCACACCTGGTTTAATAATTCTTTAAAAATATGGGGCTGGAGAGATGGCTCAGTGGTTAAGAGCACTGACTGCTCTTGCAGAGCACCCAGGTTTGATTCCCAGCACCCACATGGTGGCTACAAACCATCCTTAACTTCAGTTCCAGGGGAATCCGAAGCCCTCTTCTGACCTCCGCAGCATTGCATGACATGGGTGCACTCACCTACATGCAGGCAATACATGCATATACATAAAATAAAAATTATAAAATATTTTTTTAAATATATTTTTTATTTATTTTTATTTTATGTATATAAGTGTACTGCCTGCATGTATGTAAGTGTACTGCCTGCATGTATGTAAATGTACCAGTGTCATATAATACTGCAGGAGTCAGAAGAGGGCATTGGATTCCTTTGGAACTGGATTTATGGATGTTAGCTGCCATGTGGGTGACAGGAATGGAACCTGGGTCCTATGCAAGAGCAGCTCTTAACCACTGAGCCATCTCTCCAGTCCCAATAAAATAATCTTTAAAAAAAAAACAAACAGGGGGCTGGAGAGATGGCTCAGCAGTTAAGAACACTGGTTGTTCTTGCAGAAGACCCGGGTTCAGATCCCAGCACTCTGGCAGCTAACAACTGTCCGTAACTCCAGTCCCAGGGGATCTGACAGCCTTTCCTGACCTCCGCGGGCATTGCATGACATGGGAGCAGTTACCTACATGCAGGCAATACATGCATATACATAAAATAAAAATAATAAGTAAAATATTTTAAAAACAAAAACCAGAGGACCTGTACCTGAGTTTGGTTCCCAGCACCCACATGGCAGCTAACAACCATCCATAACTCCAGTTCCATGGGACCTGATGCTCTCTTCTGACCTCCATGGGCATTGCATGACACAGGTACACTTACATACATACAGACAATACACTCATACACATAAAATAAAATGAAATAATAAAATAAAAAATTTTAAATGTGATAATAAAACAGTATTTATTAAAAAACAACAACAACAAACAGGGGCCTCAAGGATGGCTCAGTCAGTAAAGTGTTTGTCTTGAAAGCATGAAGACATGAGGTCCATCCACAGAACCAACATAGAAATGCCAAGCTTGGGACTAGAGAGATGGCTCAGTGGTTAAGAACACTGGTTGTTCTAGCAGAAGACCCAGGTTCGAATCCCAGCACCCACATGGCAGCTAACAACTGTCAGTAACTCCAGTCCCAGGGGATCTGACAGCCTCTTCTGACCTCCACAGGCATTGCATGACACTGGTGCACTTACCTACATGTAGGCAATACACACATACACATAAAATGGGCATGGTGGCACACATCTTTAATCCCAGCACTTGGGAGGCAGAGGCAAGCGGATCCCTGTGAGTTTGAGGCTAGCCTGGTCTACATAGTGAGTTCCAGGCCAGCTGGGGCTACAGGGAGACCCTGTCTCAAAAAAACCCAGATAAGGTGGACAGCACCAAATGAATAACACCAGAGGAATGACATTCAGGGTTGACTTGTGGCCTTCACATGCATTCACATGCATGTGCATACATACATATGCATTCACACAAAACCAGATGTAGGAGCTAGAGAGATGGCTCAGTGGTTAAAGTGTTTGCTACAGTCAGTGGTGCACATCTTTAGTCCTAGCACTCAGGAGGCAGAGGCAGGCAGATCTCTGTGACAGTAAGGCCAGCATGGTTTACATAGCCAGCTCCAGGACAGGCAAGTCTACATAGTGAGACCCTGTCTAAATAATAATGAAAAAATAAATGATAGTGGGAAGTAGACAATAAGTGGTTCCAGACAGAATGTCCAACTTCTTACAGAATCACTGATTAATGCTAAGTGGTAAATGCCTAAGTAGTAAATTTACCTAAGTGGTAAATTTGATATCTGATTATTTCTTGATTATCATGTTGGTCCAAACCACTATAATCTCTCTAGCAAATTCTTGCAACAATCTCCTAGCCTCACTACTTGCCACTTCTGTCTTCACACTCAAAGTGACTCTGTAATAGTTCCACCTCACTTAGCAAGAGAGTGAACTTCCTCACACAGGGCTCTCCCAATATACCCTTCTTCCTTTACTTCTCAGAGCTTGTTTCCTACCCTCTTTCTACATCAGCCCACCTCATCCTAAACACCTCTTCACTTTAACCTTTGCCCTTGCTTAGCCCTCACACTCCACTCTGTTTATTTCCCTGCCTAGGCTAGTACATGACTCACTCCCTCACTTCAGGTTGCTGCTCAAGTACCTTATCAGAGAAGCCTTCCTGCAATAAACCTGCTCACCTGGATTTATTTCTCTAGACTGAAGGTCACCCTGTGGACTTTTATATCAGAGACTTACACAGGAGGAATTCAACATTTGCCACATAAACACCTTTGGAAGGGAAAGAAAATGAAAGGTCTGTGAAAACACCCAGATCAAATATATTTGTGATCAGGCAAGAAAATTCTTGCCTGTGGAGAAAGACTTGACTTTGGAAGTAATCAAGTGTTCAGGAAAAATAGCTTTGCAGAGAGACTGGTTTTACTGGTCTCAGTTTTCTTAACTTGCAAAATGGTAAGGAAAGGATATATCCTGAAAATAGCCACTACTGATTTATGGGATTGTAAGATTTTTCCTTTTTCTTTTTTCTTTTTTACTTAATTGAGACAGTTTCACTAAGTAGACCAGCCTGGCCTTAAATTTACAGATCAAAGACATGTGCCACCATTCCCAGCTTGGGTTGTAGGATTAAATGAGATAATACATGTGATTTGGCTTTAGAGTAGGTATTTAATACATTGAACTGCTGCCAGGAGCACATCTTATTCTTAGCATTCAGACTGCACTTATACACAGATCCAGTGGTCTTTATTATGTAAGTCAGTCCTTTGAGAGTTTGCTCAGCCTGAATCAGGGCCTGATGAATGTCCTGGGGAAACACATTTCTGACCTTATGAAGCCAGGTGGGCTCTACTTTAAAGTGTCCCACCTGTGATGTCAGGCCAAAGAGCCATCTATGGGCCTCAGCCTTAGAGTACTGGCTTTCCACTGTCTATTCACTAGCTCTCTGCTGTCCTTGGAAATCTCCCCCAAGTTTCCCTCCTTGATCTATAAAATGTCCCCACTCTGTGGCCTTGTACTTCTAGTTTAAAGATCCAAACTAGGTCTATAGCAGCTTCATCTAGTAATGAGAGCCCACTCCCTCAAGATGCCTTATGGGAGTTAAATGAGCTCAGTGTTTCTGACTGTACACAGCATGGTATCTGCATGGGAAAGGGAGCAGGGTCAACTGTCTGGAGTTAGCAGATGTTTCTTTTACAACAGTTCCCCGGCCAGGTGAGATCATATAGCATCATCTAACATCTTAGCCTCTCCAAGGTCAGTCTGGGGTTCCATCCAGAAGGCCTAGATGAAGTAAAAACCCTCCTGGATACCCATCCACTCAGGGAGGAAAGTTGCTGAGTGAACTACAGCAAAACCCATTTTCAAACTCCACTGTAGCCATAATCTGTGCAGCTGATGCTCCTGGAAAAGTGGGCCTGAAGCAGTTAGGCACAGGAGGTCTCTCAGAACCATCCCCAGATGTCTCTACAAGGAACACTTTTTAGGCAGTTCCAGGGCTTGCTACTTTTACTAGAAGTGTACAGCAGAGCCTGTGAGCAATGACTCCTAACTGGTTTATCAACCCTCTGAGTGTGTTTCCCTCCCTCAGATGGCTCTGGAGAAGGGTGGAGCTTACAAGAATCTCTCTCTACTGGCTCCTAACCACCTAGATTCTTCTTCCTGTCCTGATGATGCTTCACCCTACCAAGCTTAACCCTTTGGTCTATCTAGGATGGTACCCATATGCAGGATGTGTGACAGGGCCCAGGTGAGGCTGTGCAGTGGGTGCTTCATCAGGATGCCTTTTTTTTTTTTGTCTTTTTTTTTTTTGTCTTTTTTGAGACAGGGTCTCCCTGTAGTCCCAGCTGACCTGAACTCACTATATAGACCAGGCTGGCCTTGAACTCACAAAGATCCGCCTGCCTCTGCCTCCCAAATGCTGGGACTAAAGGCGTGCGTCACCACGCCAGCCAAGAGTGCCTATTTTTTACTAAGAGCCCAGTCTGGTCCTAGTCACCTCTGGTAGCCACTCCCCTTCCTGACAAAGGCTGCTCACATTTCCCAAGCAAATTCTAGCCTAAAAAGGGTAGTTCACCTGCAAGGACAGCTCAGCTATCTGAGTCAGGACACCCTTGAGAACAAAATCCCAAGCCCCGGGTCCTTTCATGAGCTGCCTGGCTCACTGCATCCACCCCCCACCCCCCACCGCCCCGTCACTTTTTGAGAGGGCTCCGAGGGCCGAATATGTATTTTAGGAGGTAGTTGTCTTATCCAGCCACTGCCGCCTATAGGACATTGCCCTCTCGACCGAAGGATGGGTTCTTGGCCTTATCTTTTGTAATGCTCAGTTGGGGCCAGCTGGCTGAGGGACCCTAAGGAGAGTCAGTCCTGTCGCAAATGGTGCGAGTAGATGGTAGGGACCCTCCAGTTTTCAAGCCCCTCCTTCTAAAGATGACAGCTCGTCCGCCTCTCGCCGCCCCCAGGCCACGTGGGTTGGCAGTCAGACTCACCTGTTTCTTGGGGGAACACAGTCACTGCCTTCTGCCAGACCCCCGGGGGGTTATGAGTGTCCAACCGTGCCCGGCCTGAGGGTGCAGGTTGGCGGCGCTATTGGTTCTAGCGGATACAGACATGGCCACAGCGAACCAACTGATCCTCCTTGGCGACCCTCAACCGGTCGCCGGCGCAGGAAGACAGCCTTCGCCGGCCTCTGATGGCTGAGGCCCGGCTCTTGCCGCTTGGCCCGACCCAGCCCGCCCCTGGGGTGCATTGTGGGAAATGTAGTCCGCGGCGCTCGGCAGTCTAAAACACAGCGGGAGCTGTTCTGGGCTCCAGAACCCAGCAGAGCCCCGGGTGGGATCTGACCTGGTCCCTAGTGTCTTCACCTGGCACCGCCTTCTTCCCTGTCTTGGAGGCCCTTCCCTCCCTCCCCCCTTAACCCTTAGCACAGCAGGAGCCACTAGCACTGGACTCGCCTCTCTGTCAAGCCTACCGGAGGCTTATTCAAGGGATAGGAAAGGATATTGATGTTTCCCCACGGATTGTGAAAGGACAAAGGACAAGGCAGGTCTAGGGAGCTGGATAAACGTCATTAGTAAACTCAGCCACACTGACGGTAAAAACTGCACAATTTGTTTTAAAAAGTCCTAACTCCAGCCAGGCATGGTGGCATGCGCCTTTAATCCCAGCACGCGGGAGGCAGAGGCAGGCGGATCTCTGTGAATTCAAGGCTAGCCTGGTCTACATAGTTCCAGGAAAGCTGGGGCTACAGGGAGACCTCGTCTCAAAAAGATCGATTCCCAGCACTCACATGGTGGCTACAAACAGTCCTTAACTCCGGTTCCAGGGGAATCCGAAGCCCTCTTCTGACCTCCGTGGCTTTGCACCACATGGGTGCACTCACATACATGCAGGCAATGCACTCATACACATAAAATAAAAATAATAAAATATTTTTAGAAAGACCTCTTAAGCCAGGTTTGAATATATTAGTATAAGACTCTAGAAGGCTTAGATTTCAACGTGGCACATAGACGGACCTAGGGAGTTTTTAAAAAATATTAGTGCCGGAACACCACCCCTAAGAGACTTTTACTTAATTGGATGGTACGGGGAACCAGACATCAGCGTTATTGTAAAGTCTCCCTAGTAATTTGCTAAGGACAAAGAACAATTGTTTGTAATTTTCTAGACATAAAGCAATAAAAAAACAAGAAAAGTTTTCCCAGTGGCTCTTATTTTTGGAGAAAAGTTTAAAGAATGAGAATAGTATTACTCATTTTCTATGAAGCTATTAATTCACTTTTCAAATTTCGTGGTTAATTATCCCAGAAGTTCTGAGATGACAACAAAGTTGGAAATCTGATCCTCTCTTGCTGTTTGACAAGCACTTTAAGGTGGTCTTCTGTGTCCCTCTCAGTCCTACACAGAAGTTGAGAAAGAACTATGCCCTTGTGCCTTTTCTCACAACCACTTGAAGCCTGCCTCCACAACACTGGCATAGGTGAGACATGGTGACAAAGCTGTGTCTTTTTACTGGCAATGGCTTTGTACAGGGCTATCAGATCCTTGCAGGTAGAATAAGGGAAGCTTCCTACCCACACGAGAAAAAGCTTTGTTACTTAACAGTTCTTTTCATTGCAATGGTGAGAAGAGGCAAGAAGAGCCTCCCCTGTCACTGCAGGTCCTTCAGGATTTTCTGTCACCAGCTCTATCTTGAAGCAAATACCATTTATGCAGCTTTGTTCTGATTGTTTTATCATAGGATTTTAAGACAAGACTTTTCTTTGTGTGATGATGGGGATCATACAAAGGCCTTACAAATGCAGGCAAACATTCTACCACTGAGTCTCAGCCCTAGCTCCAGAGCTCTTATTCTCTGATTGACACAGAACTATATGGGCTATATTTTATTAATTATAAGCTATACTCCATGGACTTGATCTCCATAGAAGATAAATATCTCCAAAGTTAAAGTCCTCTATTTACCAGTTTGACAGTCTCCACATGGACTTCAGGATTTGTCCCAGAGTCTTATTCTTGCTCTGTATATATGTGTTCATTTATGTGCACATGTGTGCAAATGTGTGTGGACCAGAGGTCTACATTGGGTTGTCCTAATTAGCTTTAACTGACAACATATCCTAGAGTCACCTGAGAATGGAGTCTTTTTTTTTTTAAGATAGGGTTTCCCTGTAGCCCCAGCTGGCCTGGAACTCCCTTATGTGTACGAGGCTGGCCTGGATCTCACAAAGATCTGCTGCTTCTGCCTCCTGAATCCTGGGATTAAAAGTATGTGCCAGCCAGGCACAGGGTTGCACGCCTTTAATCCCAGCACTTGGGAGACAGAGGCAGGTGGATCTCTGTGAGTTCCAGGCCAGCCTGGTCTACATAGCTGGAGTTCCAGGCCAGCTGGGGCTACAGGGAGACCCTGTCTCAAACACCGAAAAAAAAAAAAAAAAAAACCCGTGTGTGTGCCAATATGTCTGATGAGAAATGAGTCTTGAGGGATTGTCAAACCAGATTGGCTGTGAACACGTCTTTGAAGGATTGTCTTCATTGTTAATGTAGGAGGACCAAGCCCATTGTGGGGAGTACTTTTCCCTAGGTAGGTGGTCCTGGGCTTTATAAGAAAGCTAAGTGTGAGCCTGAGTCAGCAGGCAGTGTTCCTCCATGGTATCTATTTCAAGTTCCTGCTGGAGTTCCTGCCCTGATGTCCCTCAGTGATGGACTGAAAACTGTAAGCTGGAATAAACTCTTTCTTTCCCTAAAATTGTTTCTGGTCAGAATGTTTTATCACAGCAACAGAAAGGAAACTAGAATGGGTGTTTTTCTGGATCTTTTTTTCCTTTTTTTTTTTTCCTGGAGCTGAGGACCAAACCCAGAGCCTTGCGCTTGCTAGGCAAGCGCTCTACCACTGAGCTAAATCCCCAACCCCATTTTTTTTTTAAAAGACAGGGTCTCTGATTGAATCTGGAGCTCACCAATTGGCTAGAGTGGCTGGCCAGCAAGCTCTTGGTATCTACTTGTCTCTGCAGATCCAGTACTGGTGTCACAGATGAGTACCAGTGTGCTTGATTTTTACTTTTACACTTTTACAAAGGTGTTGGGAGTCCAACCTCAGATGTTTATCATGCTTGCTCAACAAGAATTTTATCAACAAGCACAAGCACTTTACTGACTGAGCTGTCATCCCAGTCCTCACTCTTGCTTTTAAGTGCAAAAGCTCCACCAGATATTAGCACTGTATTCAAGAAGTATTCTATCTATTCAGATTAGCAAGTTACCATACATCCCCCCCCCCCCCACATTTCGAAGATTTGTGCTTAGAACACAAATCTCAGAGGGCAGAATGCTGTGGCTACTTGCTAAAACATCTTTGCTTGTTTGAAGGCAGGGTCTCATGTAGCCCAGGCTGGCCTGAATGCATAATTCTCTTGCCTCTACCTCCCAAGTGCTGGAATTACAAGTGCACTAATACAATGGATGTTTGCTTTTTTTTTCTCTCAGTCCCTAGCACTGAGAGGAAATCTTACAGCATCTTACAAATGCTAGGCAAGTGTTCTACCACTGAGCTATATTCCCCAGCCCCCCTTTTCCTTTTTATTTATTTTTTTGTCAATTACTATAGATTTGATATATTTCTACTTTACCCAAATTCCTCATCTAATATTTCATCCTATAAAAGTACTGACATGTAGCCAGGCCTGGTGGCACATGCCTTTAATCCTAGTACTTGGGAGGCAGAGGCAGATGGATCTCTGTGGGTTTGAGTTCAGCCCCAAACAAGTTCCAGACCAGACAGGGCTGCATAGTGAGATCCTGTCTAAAAAAAAGAAATAAATATCCTTATATTTACAGACAAGTGTACCTCTCACCACTCATCAAAGAAGCTTTTTTTTTTTTTTTTTGTAACAGATGGAGACTATTACAAAGTTCTGCAACTGGTCAAATGCAGAGAATAAGTTACTGTGAGGTGCCCAGCCCTAAGTGATACATCTACAATATAACCTCTACATGTAAGAGTCAGGGAACATCTTGGAAGTTGGTGGTGGAAAGAATGTAAGAACAAGAGGAACAAGATACCTTCTGTTAGTTAATGCATTCTAGACATGATAGGGAAGTGACACCAATGAAATCGCCACAGCATGGTAGTATAACCATAATGACAAAACCAGTTGACATGCCACGGTGTATGGGGGAAATTTCATGGGGTCCTATTTCAAGATGAATAGCTCCAGGAAATCAATGGACGCTGAAGGAGGGAGAATCAGTTTTCTCCAGGGACTAGCTAACCTGAGAGATTATCTAATCCCAAGTGAGTAGCCTTAAACACAGGTACACATGAGTACCACTTAATGGAATCAGTGCATTCATTTGT